AGGAGCTCTCCATGCTCACATGCAGCCTCTGTGGTCTCCTGAGTGTAACTGATGTGCTCTGTTAGCATGCCCTAAGTCACTAGCCACCTGAAAGGCAGCTGGGAGGGGAAGAGCCATGGCACCATCCCCCTCTTTGTTCAGAAGGGCATTTTTATATGTCAGGGGAAACCAAGGAAGAGGTACGGTTTTGGGGTTGGCTGTGCAATGTCTCTGGTAAAGACTAGTGCCTTTGAGGTACAATGTGATTTGAAAACTCTTTGGAATTCTGTCCAATACCCTCTGCCCAGGAGGTAACATGGACATTATGTCCAATTTATGTTTATTTGTTTGGATTGATTTTACTATCAAAGATACTTATATACAATGGTTTTCATCTTCAAAGCACTTTACAACAATTAAGATTCATAGCATTCACATGAGGTACTATAGATGAATAAACATTACTCTTAAATAACAATTTACATGAAAAACACAACTCTCTGGCTATGTCTAGACTGCAAGCCTCTTTCGAAAGAGAGCGTCTAGACTGCACGGAGAAATTTCGAAAAAGCGGCTTGCTTTTTCGAAAGAAAGCATCCAGTGAGTCTGGATGCTCTCTTTCGAAGAAGCCCTATTTACATTGAAGAACGCCTTCTTTCGAAAGAGGAACTTTCGAAAGAAGGCGTTCTTCCTCGTAAATTGAGGTTTACCGCCATCGAAAGAAAAGCCGCGTTCTTTCGAATTAATTTCGAAAGAACGTGGCTTGAGTCTGGACGCAGGGGAAGTTTTTTCGAAAAAAGGCTACTTTTTTCGAAAAAACCCCTGAGTCTGGACACAGCCTCTGTGGGAAACTGAGGACGGGGGCGGAGGGAGAAAAATCTCTGAGGCCACAAAGGTAATCAGGACAAGTCCACTCCTAAAAACTGGATCAACTTTGTTGCATCCCTTGATTGTGCCATACAGTTAGGTAGACCTAATCCCCTATATATGTGGTTAGGTTGATGGAAGAATTCTTCTGTCAGCCTAACTCTTGCCTCTTGGATAAGTGGGACTACCTGCATTAAGTGGAAACCCCGTCCATGCCCACAATTCAAGAAGGATGTTGATAAATTGAGGAGAGTTCAGAGAAGAGCCACAAAAATATCAAAAGATTAGAGAATATGACTTATTGACTCAAGGAGATCAAGTGATTTATTTTAACAAGAAGAAGGTTAAGGAGTGACTTGATTGATTATAGTCTGAAAGTACCTACATGGGGAACAAATATTTAATAATGGACTCTTCAGTCTACCAGAAAAAGGAATAATATGGCTATGGCTGGAACTTGAAGCTAGACACATTTTTACTGGTAATCAAATGCAAATTTTTAATGGTGAGAGTAATTAAGAATATAAGAATGGCTATACTGGGTCAAACCAAAGGTCCATCTAGCCCAGTATTCTGACAGAGTACATCTATACAGCAGCATTATTTTGGAAAACTGACGCTATTTAAAAATAACAAAATGTGGGTCTACACAGCAAGCCATTATTTCAAAATAATGTCGAGATGGAGGACTTCTTACTCCAGCTGCTGTAACTCTCTTTCCATGAGGAGTAAGGGAAGTCAAAGGAAGAGTGTTCTTCCTTCAATTTCCTGCTGTGTAGCTAGCACCAAAACCTGAATTAAGCTATTTCGACTTCAGCTACACAATTGACGTAGCTGAAGTTGAGTTTCTTAATTTGTCTTTTGCCCTACTGTGTAGACTTATCTCCCAATGACCAATGTCAGGTGCCCCAGAGCAAATGAACAAAATGTAATAATCAAGTGATCCATCACCTAGTTCCCATTCCCAGCTTTTGGCAAACAAGAGGCTAGGGACATCATCAATTCCCATCCTTCCAAATAGCCATTGGTGGACCTATCCCCATGAATTGATCTAGCTCTTTTTTGAACCTTGTTATAGTCTTGGACTTCACAACATCCTTTGGCAAGGAGTTCTACAAGTTGGCTATGTGTTGTTGTGTAAAGAAATACTTCCTTTTGTGTGTGTTGTGTAAAGAAACACTTCCTTTTGTTTGTTTTAAACCTCACTGGCAATTTTTAATTCAGAATTAGATATTTTTGTAAAAGTTATATTCTAGGAATTATTTGGGGGAAATGCCATGCCCTGTGTTATGAATGAGACCAGACTAATTCTTTCTTCTGGTCTTAGAATCTGAATCTATGATGTGGAAATCAGCTACACTACAGTGTTACAAATGCAGTATCATTTGCTGCCATAATATAGACATAATCTTAGTACCAGAGCCAAGAGTAGAAGACAGGAAAGTCTCAAATCCTGTTCTCAGACTACCTTACCACCACCCCTTCCAGAGAAACATGAAAACATATATGCCTGAAAAGATATGTTTCAGTGCTGGAAATATCATCCGTACCACTAGAGACAACTGTCCATGCAGAAGTAGGTGTTTTAAAAGCAGCCCGGCTTTTAAAAAAAAGGAATATGGTATATAAAATCCAGGGGACTAAGGATCTGTGATTCACTATCATTTTTACCAGGAGTTCTTCAATACTTTTAGAGCTGAGTGAATAATTCATAGCGACAATAAATTTAGCTTCTTATTGTTTGTGCTTTGTCCGTCAGCAGATGATTATTTCTCAAAAAAAATTTCTTGTTTACAATTATTTACTGAATAATTTTGGTCTGCAAATAGATAGTGAGCAGCTCATTACTAAAAATCAACATGGAAAGTACTACCTTTGAAATGTCAGTTAGTTCTGATTGGACACATATATCACATAATAGTCTTTTTGTTCCCTAATTAGATAAAAAGAACTCTCAACAGGTTTATATTGCAAATGTTCACACTTCTGAGTTTAATATTTGCTTTCTATTAATTTGTCATAGACTTATGACTAGAAGGACCATTGTGATTATCTCATCTGATGTCCTATATAACACAGGTCATAGAACTTCCCTGAGTTAATGCCTGCTTGAATTAGTACCTGTCTTTTAGAACAATTTCCAATCTTAATGTAAAAATTTCCACTGATGCAGAATCTCCCAGCATATTTGGTAAGTTGTTCCAATGATTAATTACCTTCACTATTAAAATTGTGCCCCTTATTCCTAGTTTCAGTTTGTCTTGCTTCAGCTTTCAGCCTTCGGATCTTGTTATACTTTTGAGCCCTCTATTATTACATTTTTGTTCCCTTGTAGGTACCCACAGACAGTGAACTGGTGACCCCTTAACCTTCTCTTGATTATGCTAAATAGATTGAGCTCCGTGAGGCTAGCTTCCCTTATTCCTGAAAATTCAATTTCTGGGAACATTTCTCACTCTCTAATATTCATGTAAAGTGAAAATAAATACAGTCTGAGTTAATGCAATATTTTTAATTTAAGTGAATATTCATAGACATATTTTGAGGTCTTTGACCAGCACTAATGTTCATTCACATTTGCACATGAACATTTTCAAAATTTCAGTCACGGTATCTGAAAAGGAAGCTAAGGGGAGAAAACCATCATATCAAAGTGAGGCCCAAAAGTAGAAGTCTGGAAATGTCATGGGGAAGGGGAGTTTAAATGTTTGCTTTGGTATGATTTTAAAGTTGGGGGGGGGGGAATAAATTATTTGGAGAAGTGAAGAGGAAATACATTATGAGCCCTGTATCAACACAACACTTGAGCACATGCGTAATTTTAAGCATATATTTAAGTGCTTTTTGAATCAGGGCTTCAGAGAGTAGTAAATGAAGAAAAAAAGAACTGAGAAATGTGGCGAAAAACTCCAACTGCCTTTTGAATAATAATTGTTCAAATTAAATATAGATTGTAGAGCTCAAGCTATGTATTTTAGAAAAATCTGTTTTAAAAAAGTAATATAATATTTTAAATGTAAGAAAATGTCCACATTTTCATATGAACATACTTGAAGTATTTTATCATTTGTGGACACTAGTATGTGATTGCTACAGGAGTGTGCATCCATGTATATTACTTCTGACCACCAAACAGATGTCACAATCAATAGCATTTTGCCCGCAAATACAATTTATATAAATGAAGGTGCACAGGGAAAAGGCTGATATCTTCATCACAGTTTCATCACTATGACTGATTGGGGCTTTACAGAACTATATTTAGCACATTACTTGGTATTGGTTAGGATGGAAATTTCAGACATCATTTGCTGACAGCAATTCTTTAAAATAAATCCCAAGGTTTCTTCACATTCTCACACCTCCAAAGCATCCTAATTACGGACTATCAGTTTGCATTAAAAAGGACATTGCCAAATAGTTTCAACCCCAAATGTAGATTTTATTTATTTAAAATTGTTTTTCAAAACCTAATATTAATAGAAATACTGTCATGAGTTTTAAAAATGTTGGTGAAACATATGCTATCTAATTTTTACATTTTCTCTCTCCTTTCCCCATTCTGCAACCACAATATTTGCAAACCAAACATTGCAACATTGTATCAATGCATGGAAATTTGAAAATAAGCCAAACTAGGAAACAACTCCAAACCAGATTAATCTAATATATTTTCATTGTCCCACTGAGTGAAATGCAAAAAGTAGCCAGACAGTTTTTAAAATCTAAATTACTCTTCACCTTTTATGCTGTTTCAGGTTTAATAATCTAAACCACAATTTGTATACACAGCTGAGGAAATTTGAGAGGAATTTGTTTATCCTTACAAATGATCTTTAAAAAGTCTCAGAGGAGTAGCTGTGTTAGTCTGTAATTTTAAAAAACAAGTAGTCCTGTGGTGCCTAAGAGACTAACAAAAATATACAGGACCATGAGCATTAATGGGCCTTACCCATGAAAGCTCACGAACCATCTTTAGGCTACATGCATGCAAAAAGAGTGAAAAGAATCCTCTCAGACACTGAAGATACCTTTATTTTCCCTGGCTTTTTCTCAGGATACATTTTGACCTGTAGAAAAATTGTGTGGATTTAGATACAGTAACAGAGTTTTTGGTTGGTTTTGATTACATCTATTTTGGAAGATGCTGTTTCTTAGATGCAAATCTCCTCAAACTCACTGTATGGAGATGAAGATAAAGAGGATTTAGACTCTCCATCACTGTTGCATTCCCTTCTTATATCAGGACTGGAAGCATCTGTAGCCTCCATAGCGGATATTGCTTCCTTAGTGTTAGACCCTAATGAGTGACAGTCCAGCAAACTCTGAAGGTGTTTAATGTAATTTATTGCAGCTCTTAGGGTCTCCACTTTGCTGAGGCGTTTGTCTGCAAGCTCCTTGGGAAGATGTTCTCGGAGGCGTGCATACCCCTCATTCACACAACGCACTCTTTGTCTCTCTCTTTCATTTCTCTTTCGAATGAAGGCAGGCTCAAAAGAATAGTCGTAGACTCCTACATAGCCAGAGAAAGGTATGTAGGAAAATCTACCCGAATAACTACAGTAGGGTTGGTCCCAATAAGTTGGACTGAAATGGAAGGGAACTCCAAAGGGCTCTCTCAGTGATAATCCATGTGGATTCACATGGTTATTACCCATGGACATAGCTCCCGAGAATAACATCCCATTCAATAGTCCATCATTCCTATTGCTCTCCATTGTTTACCAGTGCAATTTTCGTCTCAAATTTGGCTTCCTGATCTTGCGTTAATCCATGCATGGAGGGAACATTTGTACGGGGTCCTCTGCCCCACAGTCTGCTCCGTTCTTGTGGTGAAATCTATGTCCAGATTTAAAGGCAAAAGTAACAATTCATGAAGTCCACCGTATGACTGAAAATCAGCTCTGCTCCTCAACCTTATATAGAGGTAGGATGCCATCTAATTTATAGAGCAGCTTTTAGGACCATCACTCCACACTTTAAATCCACCCAGCATTTCCTCTGATCGTTATCTTTCAAAAGATAATAAGAGGGTTCCTATATTCCTTTTCTTCTAGCTTGAAAGTGTCCATAGAGTTAACACCAAACATAAACAATCTTCCAGTCTTAAACACTTTTCTTGTATTGCATGCCACAGTATCATTTGATATAGTTGTCTCCAAAAGATGGGTATTTTCCAAAGTTTACAGAGATCTTCAAAGTTTTGGCAGAACCCCTCCCATCTAGGAACCAAAAATCTCTTGTCAGCTGGAAAACTAGCCAAAGGCTTTTCACACCGAAATCCAAAATGCATCTGCAGCCTTTGTTGTTCCTGCTGTTCCAATCTTACTGAAACAGTTCTCCTAGCAGTATGCAAAACTTATATGGTATCTCTCTAGCTTTCTAGGGAGACTGAGATATCATCAAAGAAAGAGTGCTCTCTTGTGGTAACAGATCGTCTCACATCAAGATTAAACACAACTCCAAGAAAGGAAATCTGTGTTTTCTTGGTGTTTTCTTCAGCAGAAAGGAAATTTTTTCCAGCAAGTTCTGTGAAGAACGGGGTTCCAAAATTATATATATAATGAATTATTCATGATTCTTTTGTTCATTTTTCATTGAAATTCTTGTCTGGTGGAAAATGGCCTGATCATCTCTGGTGAGGACTACCTGCTTTAAGCAAAAAACAAAAAACACCTTAAATAATCCCCTCTCCTCTTGCAGGCATGCTGTGGTTGTAAGATGTTGGGCTAGATTCTGGCCCATGAAATCAGTGATAGTTAGGTTCCTACGCTCCTTTGAGGATCTGGACCTAAATGAGTGAACAAAATTTGCATGCCAAGAAATATGCATGTGCCTGGTGCAGAATCAGAAGCTGGCAATACCGGCCATCCTCACTAAGCCCAAGATACAGTCCAAAAAAATTGGACGTATAGTGAAACGTGCATGTGCCTGGTACAGAATCAGAAGCTGGCAATACCAGCCATCCTCACTAAGCCCAAGATACATTCCAAAAAAATTGGACGTATAGTGAAACAACTTAAACCAGGGACATTTTTTTTCCCACAGCTGACTTCAATTTGCACAAATTCGGGAGAGAGGAGGTTGTACAATTTAGGAGCAGGGAATGGGAGGACTTATAACGCATCAGTTCCTACAAGCATAAACGATTTTAGTGTGGAAAGGATGTATACCGGGATGACTTGTAGTGGGGACGCCCTGTAGTGACATCAGCATTCCCTTTTTTAAAACAAAAGGAAAAACTATATAGCACTTTATATTCCCTTTTTTAGAACAAAAGGAAAAATTATATAGCACTTTAAAGACTAACAAGATGGTTTAATAGGTGATGAGCTTTCGTGGAAGTGGATCTGGCCCATGAACGTTCATCACCTATTAAACCATCTTGTTAGTCTTTAAAGTGCTACATAGTTTTTCCTTTTGTTTTAGCAAGATCAGACTAACACGGCTACCTCCCTTTTTTAAAAGTATGCTTTGCTTTCTGTGTGAGGTTATTTTGCAATCCTAAAAAACAACGCCACAAAAGTGTCGTTAAAAAAATTAGAGAATTCTTGACTTGGGGATCACTGCAAACAGGGTTATTTTGCAATCCTAAAAAACAATGCCACAAAAGTGGCGTTAAAAAAATTAGAGTATTCTTGACTTGGGGATCACTGCAAACAGTCCTGAGGCTGCGGCAGAATCAGCCCCAAGAAGCCTCAGAAATTTGGGAAAAACAAAGATGGTATATAGCCACTCCTCCACCTCTGGGACCTATACTGATCCCAAGAAGCCTCAGAAATCTGGGAAAAACAAAGATGGCATATAGCTACTCCTCCACCTCTGGGACCTATACTGAGCACAGCTCAACCAGCACAGAGGATTGGGGCCATAGTATTTTGTACCGTTACTATACAAAATAAGAATTGCCATACTAGGTCAGACCAAAGGTTCCAATCTAACTCAATATCCCGATACTGCCCACTGCCAGGTGCTTCAGAGGGAATGAACAGAACAGCTAATCATCATCCATTAGCAGTTTCTTGTGTGGTTGGGCAGCCACCTAGAAGAGATTCAGGTGCCGCCCATCTGATTAGCAGGGCACTGACAGCCAGCAGCATATGTTTCTACTGGTGGTGTACATCCACACATGCCTTGGTGTGCATAACAACATTTATTCCACACATGGATGAAAAAAATTGAGGGAACACTGATCATTAGAATTTGATACCTTTCATACAGGGTGAAACCATTTTATATCAAGACTGGATGTCTTTCTAAAAGATAAGCTAAAGTTCAGACAAAAGTTATGGGCTTGATGAATTAATTGGGGAACATTCTATTGTTAATGTTTATGAAAGAGCTCAGGGTATGTCTACACTACAGAGTTTTGTTGGAAAAAATGACCATTTTTCTGACAAAACCTGAGTTACGTCCACACTGCAATCGCATTTTTCTGAAAGTAAATTGAAAGAACAGAAGGGTTTTTTCTGGTGTTGGTAATCCTCCTTCTACAAGGAAGAAGCCTTTTTCAGAAAGAGCTCTTTTGGAAAAAGGCGTGTGTGGATGAGGAAGAGGGAGTTCTTTCAAAAGAAGAGGAAAGAGGAAAAAGCACAGGTGCCCTGGTGGCCACTCCGTCCATAGTAATCACAGCTTAAATGCGAGAGAGTGTCCATTCAGTGTGGACACTATCTTTCAAAAAAGCAGATCGATTTTTTGATGCACTTTTGTGTGTGGGTGCTCTCTTTTGGAAGAAGTTTTTTCAGAAGATCTCTACCAAAAAAAGGTTCTTCCGAAAGAAGCCTTCAGTCTAGACATAGCCTCAGACTAGATCAGTATTTCTTAAACTTTTTAACCATAAGTTGATAAAACAAAACAAAACAAAAAAATGGCCATTTTAACTCTGTTGTTCTCCACGGCACACCTCTGACTGCCTCGTGGCACACCAGTGTTCCCTGGAACACAGTTTAAGAAACACTGGACTAGATGATCATATTGGTCCTTTCTGTCCTTAACATCTGTGAAAACACAGAACTCTCCCATAACTTTAAGTACAGCTTTTGCTCTCAGCAAACCCTACCATAACCATGATTTTATTATTTGGTTTTATTTAACAAATGAAAATTGTAGGGTTTTTCTTTAAAGAAAAACACCCTAACCCTGCTGTTTTTGCAATTCTAACACTCCAGAATTGTGCTAGATTAGGAACTAAGATTCTCTGGCAACAAATGGGATGCTGACCAGGTCTGTTTTTGTTGTCCAACTTAAAAAGCAAACAGCTAGCTTAAATGGAAATAAATTAGATTCGTATAATTCTTCCTTTTAAAAATTGTCTAATGTGTCATTAGCAACACAGTACTGGCACTTATTTTTTAAACTATGTGATTTTTAAACAGTGTACCTGTGCCCAGAAAAATTCACTGCGGCTATTTAAAATCCTGGATGATCTTTGTGTTCTCTAAAACCATTTCTAATGTCTAGCCACGTTCACAAGGAAGAATTATATTTCAGTTGTGAAACCCAAACGCTGTTCTTTACCATGAGGCTTTTATTTCAATGTTTACTGTAAACACCATTTACTTGCAGTTCTGAGAGCACTTATAGCCCTTCTGTGTTAAAGGGATACACGATTTACCTAAAGTAAATCCATTTTCTTATTTCTTTAAAAATACAAAATATTCATAGAACATAAATACTAATTTGAATGATCAGAAAACCTAGGTGCATATCAAAGTCTACACTGGCACTGAACAATTTGCTTCAACAACATGAGAAAAATGAAAATATGTTGCTAATTTTTGTTGCATTATTATATTCACCAGTTAATGGGATTCTTTCAGGCTGAAATTTGCCTCTTGCAGAGAACTAAAAGGAAGTCTGTGCACCTATTAAGTCCCAGTGAAGATCTCTGGTGAGAGCATTAGTAGGATTGAAGTGATGGATATTTTGTGTACCGGCTGTCTGTGCAAGCTAGATCCTGTTCACCTTACCTACACAAACAGTCCATCACACTAGATCCTTTGATCTCTTTCCACAATCCACTCCAACCCAGATAGAATGTTAGTATCTGGTTCTGTTCATGTTATTCTAAATCAGGAGTAGCCAGCTAATGGAGTTACACCGATGCAAAAATTACTATTAAAGGAGAATCGGGGTCTTAGTTTGTGTTATTCTAAATCAGGAGTAGCCAGCCAATGGAGTTATACTGATGCAAAAATTACTATTAAAGGAGAATCGGGGTCTTAGTTTTTCACTGATTTACTGTTAAGTCAAGACCCTTCAGACCTCTGAAGCAGGAGCTCAAGAATTTATGGATTCCTTCTTAATTAGTCTCTTCTTAAATTCCATCTTAAAAATAGTAATTGGGGTAGTTCATAAATTCTCCATGATGTTAAAATTTGTTTTCTTCATTCGCATCTTACACGTCAATGTGTTTATTCTTAATTATCTACTTGAAATGACTAGAAAATGTTTCCCACATAAATGAAAATAAAATTTAAATAATTATTCCCTCTGGATGCTGTTTAGTCATAGTTTTGATTGCACATCTCACACTATGAATTGTACATTCAAAACAATATAATTTTGACAGTGTAACAACAACAACAAAATCTCAATAGCAAATATTTTTACTCAGCTTTTCATCTTGCAATTGGTGACACTCACACTAACTGGAATCATGTACATTACTTGTATTGTGTGAAGCTTTGAAGCCAGTGGCATATTTTCAGCAACAGTT